TTACTCAGTCTAAGGTATTTTGTTATAGCAGCCTGAAAAGACCAAGACATGCTACCATGTTGGTAATTTTCAGCTACATCATTTCACTAATCTAGAATTGAGAAAAAGAGATCCTAATGTTAAAAGTTACTGATAACTAAAACTTGCCCTTACATTTTTGCATTCTCCCTGGATGAAGGCCTGAGATTCTGAAGTTGTTCTTGAACTTGACCCTACTAGTTTACATTATGCTGCATTTTAACTGCATCACTGGGCTAGTGAAAAAAACATACACACAAAAAATATGGATTTGATAACTCACCCTGAATATTTAAGAACATCTGTTTTTTGCTATAAACATTTTTTTAAAGCCTAAACATGAAGCACTGGTCCAATTCATTAATATTTTGGAATACATTTAATTACTGTATATTACAATAAAACGAGCTGTGTTTTTTTGTAGTTAAAAAGCCAGCATTTTCACATTATCAGTTAAAACCACATTAGAAAGTACATTTTAAAAATTGAAAGTGAGTTTATTGAAAAGAAACGTGTTACTGGGTATTCTAGCAGAGAAAATCCCTTATATATCTACAAAAGCATTTTTAAGAGTTAAAAGAATCACATACCTTGGCAACCATTTGCTAATTTTGAAAGTATTCCCAAGTTTTTATATATTATATTTATTTAAATTGGCCATACGATTTTAATTGGTTTCACTGTGGTAGAATTAGCTTCATTGAAGTAGATGTACTCTCCTACAAGCTGAATAGCAGCCCTATGTAGCACAGATTTCCAGCATAAACTATAATTCATAAAGGCCAACACAACTCTTTTCTTTGTAGCTGGGTAACCATTTATGTTTGAGGTGAAGATGTTAATATGGAAATTTGGTGAGCTAGGAAAGAGGACGAACGCTATCACTCTAATTTATGACCTTTCATATAAGGCCAAATGTAAAGGCAACTTCAATTGTTTTATATCTCAGGGCCAGCACATAGCAGATGTATGAAATTTGGAGTGTTAGACATAAACTTTTATTACCAAATTATAAATAATTTCTCCCACTTATAATGTTCACCTTTCAAGTTCATCTTGATTAAAATACAAGGGCAGCTTCACACCGATTTCACTGAATTTTACAGCTGAGAGAGGTTTTCTAGAGTTCACAGTGGAGCATAAAGCATCACAGCATTTGGGAGACTGTCCTTCCAGGAGCTCAGACTCTGATCCTATCTCTTTGAAAATTCAAGTCATGCCAAAATAATGGCTGATGAAGTCCAAACATTATTTAAACATCTCACATGTTACATCTGAAACCAAGTGCCCATGATGTAGAATATATCCCTTCTTTGGATAAGCAAAACGACACACTACTTTTTCTGAGAAATTTGCTCACCAGTCAATAAGCTTGTATCACTTCTTAGAAGGTATTCAACAACCAGAGCGTGTCTATCTCATTTTCTCTTTCTTTTCTTTCTTTTCCTTTTCTTTCTTTCTCTTTCTCTTTCTTTCTTTCTTTCCCCTCCCTCCCTCCCTCTCTCCTTCCTTCCTTCCTTCCTTCCTTCCTTCCTTCCTTCCTTCCTTCCTTCCTTCCTTCCTTCCTTCCTTCCTTTTAAGAAACAGTCTCACTCTGTTGTCCAGGCTGGAGTACAGTGGCATGATCTCGTCTCACTGCAACCTTAGCCTGACAGGTTCAAGAGATTCTCATGCCTCAGCCTCCCGAGTAGCTGGGATTACAGGCGTGTGCCACTACACCCAGCTAATTTTTGAATTTTAAGTAGAGATTGGATTCAACATGTTGGCTAGGCTGGTCTCGAACTCCTGACTTCAAGTGATCCGCCAACCTCAGCCTCCTAAAGTGCTGAGATTACAGATGTGAGCCACTGCCCCTGGCCTCTTTTCATTTTCTATAACAAATAGTTTTCATATCCCATGATTAAAGGCAGATAATGGTGACCCCAAGTATCCAAAACTAGTACATCACAGCTTATGAGCTCCTACTGTACAGTCTCAAGGTCCAGGAAAGGTTCAGGTCCCTGCCAGCACTTCATACCAGTTAATGCATTGCTCCAACAAGACCAGCCAGTATTCTTAGAAGCTTAACATCCATGTTAGGTATTAAAATCTGCTTTGGAGAGTGTTGGCCAATCCAATTACATGTTTGTATTTATCATCATCATCATCATCAACAACCACAACAACAACACAATACATTCACCTACGTGTTCACAGGACTTCCGGGTGTTTAATAAGCTAAACATGAGACCATCTCATGAATATGAAACACTGAAGGACATAGTTATCTAAAGGCATTTGTACTATAGAACTGTAGAAGTAAGGGACAAACAATGAAGTGGCAAGAGCTCCCTTCAGCATTTTTATATCTGCCATTTGTCTATTTTAAGCATAATAGCTTCAAGAGAATGAAAAGACAAGCCATAAACTGGGAGAAAATATTTGTAAAAGACATATCTGATAAAGAACTATTATTCAAAATATACAAAGGACTCTTAAAACTCAACAATAAAAAAAGAACAAATTGATTCAAAATTGGGCCGAAGACCTGAACAACCAAAGAAGATATACATATGGCAAATAAGCATATAGAAAATCCTCCATATCATATGTCACTAAGGAATTACAACTTTAAACAACTATGAGATAGTCACTAAGCAGCTATTAGACGAGTCAAAATCCAAAGGACTGGAAACACCAAATGCCCGTGAGGATGTGGAACAATGGAAACTCTCATTCACTGCTAGTGGGAATGCAAAATGGTACAGCCACATTGTAAGACAGTTTGGCAGTTTCTTACAAAACTAAACATACCCTGCTGTATGATCCACAGTCATACTCCTTGATGTTCACCCAAATGACCTGAAAACTTATTTCTACACAAAAACCTGCACACGCATATTTATAGCAGCTTTATTCATAATTGCCCAAACTTGGAAGCAACCAAGATGTCCTTTAGTAGGTAAATGGATAAATCAACTGTGGTACATCCAAATAATGGAATATTATTCAGAACTTAAAAGAAATGAGTTGTCAAACCATGAAAAGGCATAGAGGGGTCTTAAATGCATATTTCTAAGTGAAAGAAGCCAGTCTGAAAAGGCTACACAGTGGGGTGGTGCAGTGTATGCATCACCAACTATGTATGGTATGATTCCAAATGTATGATATTCTGGAAAAAGGCAAAACTTTGGAGACAGAAAAAAGATCAGTGGTTGCCAGTGGGGAGGAAGGGGTAAATAGGTGGAGCACAGAGAATTTTTAGGGCAGTGAAACTGTTCTGTATGATACTACAATTGTGGGTACATTTCATTATGCATTTGTCAAAACCTGTAGCATGTGCAACACCAAGAGTGAACCCTAATGTAAACTTTGGCCTTTGGATGATAATGATGTGTCAGTGTAGGTTCATCAGTTCTAACAACTAAACGAAACTAAACTACGTAAGTTAAACTAAATCTTGCCAAAATATTTTTATGACTTTAAGCCTCCTTAATAAATTAATGTTCACATTCAGGGTTTTGAAGACTAGTATTCAGCAAAAGTCTTGCAGTGTTTTCTTTGCATCATAAAAGATGCTGAAAGCAAAACCCTGGGAAATATGGAAAATTGCCTGAGTTAGTAAAAGTCATTTATAAGCTGCTGAGGGGCTTTTGGGAACAGCTACACTTTTTATAAACTTGTTAGCTCATGAAATAATTCAGGATGCCCACCCCGTGTGTCAAACTGGGCCCTTACCCAGCTACTGCCCTTGGAGAAGGCTGCAGCTGCTCTGCAGATGAACTAGGCCCTTAAAACTCCTCATGGCTCCCTACCCACCATGCTAGTGTTAACAGCTCAATTAGGGCTCTGTAGGAAAGGGAAAGAAGTTTGAATCAAAATTTTATTTTATTTTTTTTAATAATTTAAACAACCAGTAAGGAATGTGCAATTTGATGTCTTGCAAAGAAAGTTTTTAGGAACAAGCCTTTTTATCCTGTTATGTTTGTACTTTGCAAGTAATTATTTGATTTAAACAGTACTTTTCTTAAAATTTTTATTTATATTATATTTTATATTGCAAGAACTTCAAATACAGTCCTCTCAATAAATCAGTAACTGTTTGGTCTTTACCCAAACTGAGCTTTTATAGAAGGATATAAGGAAGTCTCTATTCTTTACCAAATCACATCCACTTGTTTTCTGTCCCTGATATCAATCAAAAGTTCATTTCTTCTGCCTTTAGCCAAAAGAAGGTTACAAGGGAGGAATTCTTTATCTCAGAAAAAAATTCTGCATCTTAGATTTTATAACACCTAATGGGGTTAAGGATCTGTGTTGGAAGATCTTATTGCTTTGTGTATAGCGTTACAAACCATAAATAAAATTAAAGTAAGTTTTCAGCTGATGAGAGTAAAGGAATCAAGTCTTGGGGTAACAGTTCTCTTTTTTTCCCCTTCCAATCCCATTAATAGAAAGAGTGTTGAGAATTCATGCAAAATTCCAAACCAAGTTCCCATAGTAGCACTTAAATAATGTCTGCACACCATTTCCAATTGGAACAAGTTTTTAATGTAACACAATTAATGTCATTATAATTCGGAGTTACTTGAGTGATTTTAATTATTTTTTAATCAACATTGCCATGGAAACAGTCTCTTGCTAAAATGGCTTAAGTCTTCACACATTTAATCAATATCCAGAGGTAGATTTAAAGACTTGAGGTGTTTTATTTATTTATTTGCTTTAAACTATTCAAGGACGTTTCTGGGTACACAGTGCCGTTACTTAAACAGTAAATTCCAGTTTCCTATGACTTCAAGTTATTTTTTACACTTCTGCAAATAAATCCTGGACAAAAGATCACTTCTAGTTTCCTGGATTTTTGTTTTTGTTTTATATTATATTTGTTTTGTATTCAGATTTCTGTCAGAGGAACTCCAGTGCACCAATTTTGCTACTAGACAAAACAGGATTCTCGGATTTGCGCGCTTCGGCGCTGACAGGCTTTTCGGCCCCAGCGGGCTGCCGTAGCAGAGAAGAGCAGTGATTGGCCGAGGCAGAAAAGTGCCGCTGCCTCGGCGGTTTCGCTTTTGGCTGCGATCATCCGCGGAGGCCGGACTCGTGGGGCGCCTGGAGTGAGGGTTCTGGATCCCGCCCGCGAGGTGAGCCGCACGGCTGCGCGGGCCGATGACGGGGCCGGGCGTAGCCCCGGGTTCGACGCCCCAGTGTTCAGTCGCGCTGTGGAGCGGCGGCTGCAGCGGCCCTAGGCCGGGCGAGGCAGCCCCGGAAAGGGCCTGAGGGGAACGGGCTGGGGCTCCGGGAAGGGACCGCTGAGTGGCAGCTTCCCGCGAAATGCCGCGTCCAAGCTCTCCGCGCACGGAATGGCCGGAGAGGTCTGATGGTGGGCGCCGGGACCGCCCTCAGCGAGGTGCTTAGACTGCGCAGAGAGTAGCGGCACCGTCCCGGCTCCCACCGAGTTGGCGTCCGAGACCAGTTGAGGTTGTTGAAGTTCCCCAGGGAGCCCCGAGGCTAATCCCAGGATTCGGCGGGAAAGCGGATCCCGAACCCAGGCCTAGGCTTCGCCAGTCTTCCAGGGCTTCAGGGAATTGCGAACCCTTCCCTACATCGGGGTGGCTGCGCCTGACCACAGGAATTAAGGACTCGACTCGCCTGTCTTACTGAGTTGTCAGGCCTAGGAACCCAATTGTATGGTCTTAAGTCCTATCGCCCGAGGTTTTCTGTGCGTTCGCGTGTCCGCGCGCGTGCATAGCAGGCGTTTTTAAGATGTGTAGCATTAGGATGAAGCGGATTACCCTACCCCACTGCTCTTAGTAATATGTGACTATTGTAGAAAATTGCAAACATGGAAGACTTTAGTGAAGAAATAGTATTCACAACCCTTTCACCTACAATCTTTTTCTCCTGTGTATGCTAGCTTCTACTTGAGCTAAGAGTGTACATGTTTAATCACTTAACAGTATAGTTTACCACTTCCATTTAAAAACTCTTCCTAAATATTATTCTAGTTTTGTATCTTCTTTTGATTGACTGTCCCTCATTGTGGATCGCAATGTAGGTCCCATAAATTATTCAGTCATTTCCCGATTGTGGGATATTATAGATTGTTTTTGAATTTTTGAATCTCTTAGCACCCCAGATAATACTTTGATAAACCTTTTCCCCCCTATTTTTTAGATTATTTCCTTGGACTAGATTCTCAGAAGTGAAATTATCAGATTAGATGCTTTCATCTGTAAGGCCTTTTTTAGGCCTTCGTACACATTGCTGCAGTGTTTTCCAAAAAAGTTTTTCAGGTGTTTGGCAATTTTACTTGCTTGAATATTGTACAGAAATCTTGAGAGGCTTATGTTTGTGGGGGTGTGTGTGTGTGTGTGGGGGTGTGTGTGTGTGTGTGTGTCACTGGAGTTAATGCGTTACTACCTGAATGTTAGGGCAGGAAGAGACTTAAGTGGTCATCTGGCATAACTCCCTTATTTTGCAGATGAGGAACCTGGGGCCATGAGAAGTGAAATGATGAGTTATCCAAGTCACACAGCTAATTAAGTAGCAGAGCTGGGATTAGAACTCAGGTTTCCTGCCTCCCAAGTGAGTACCCTGTGCTGCATCAGGCAGTCTCTCACTGAACTGTGGCATAGTAGATATTAGAATTTAAAAATTTGTTTACATCACCTGGATTATTCTCTCCTTTTAAAAGTGTACTAACAGATTAATGATCGGAGGGACCTGTAACACTGAGAAATTGGAAAGTGATTATTTTCATGGCTAAGACTAGAAATCCATTATTTAGAATGGCAACCCCTTCAAGATTTTGACAGTTGTTTTCAGGTTCCCTTTATGTTAGAATAAAACATCCCTGATTAATTATAATCTACACTCCATCATTTGGTTAGAATGTAGCTTTTGGTTATCATTTGCTGTACTTTGGAGATTTCTTTAAAACTCCTCACTTTAAAACCAAAGAACAATGTTGTTGGTGGTTTTTTTTTTTAGGGCTTATAGCGGAGATTCTCAGCTTCCATTGACATTTTGGGCTGGACAGTCCTTTGTTGTGGAGGGCGGTCCTGTTGTAAAATGTTTAGCAACATCCCTGGTCTCTACCCACTAGTATAGCAGTAGCACCACCTTCCTCAGTCCTGACAGTTCAGTGTCCCCAGATACTTCCAAATGTCCCTGAGCAGGGTGGGGTGGGGTTGGGGAAACTGCCCCTAGTTGAGAACCATTTGCTTAAATAAATTATCTGGAGAACTTCATAAAATGTAAAATACAGTGCTTTTACCTGAGTAGACTTCAGGAATCTGCATTTTAACAAGCATCTCTAGATTTGGAAACAGCTGGTTCTTGAATGACAGAAAGGGTTGTTTTCTCCGTCTTTGGTGGTCCTAATAGAGATTACTTGGTTAGTATTTGTTGAAGTACGTGCATGATCCTACTAGTCACTGTATCCATAGTTTGGGTTGGTGGGGGCTGGACAGGGATTTTGCTTGGCACTGGCCTTGAATGTCTCTTCCACAGACTTGGGCAGTGTGCTTAGGTACCAGGGATACCAAGTGAGTAGGATATTTCCCCTGTCCCCAAGGAGCTTAAAACTCACCATGGGAGACCTGTCAGCAAATGGAAAAATTACAAAGCAGCCTGATGAGGACCATGACCGAGAGTGGAAAGAGGTGCTCTGAGTGGACTCACTTCGCCTTTGGGAGAGAGGGAGAGAAGTAGCGCCTGCTGCTCAGGAAGGAGGGATTGGTATGAAGCCTTCACAAGACAGCGAGGCACTCCACTGTGTCAGAAGGGAGGACTTGGAGAGCTGTTCTTCTCCGTGTCTGATCGCCTCCTCAGACACTGATCTGTTAGTCTAGTGCTGCAGTTACTTGGATTGTAATGTTTCCTTGCAAGTTTTTGCTTTTCAAATTTTTTTCACCCTAAACTGTAAATATGCTAGGAGTAGGTAAAAACTTACAGGTAAACATTGCCAAGTAATAAGGATTTTCATGTCTTCTGCCCAGTGGCATAACCCAAATCACATGAGATAGTTTTCTTTGCGTTTGTCCGTTGTATTTCTTTGAGGCTAATTTACAGCACTTTGTCATGTTAGGTATTTTTTTCCCCAGTGCTGCTACTCTCCGACTGGATTTCTCGCTGCCTCTATTGCGATTCCCCAAGATTTAACCAGAGAATCTTAACATATTCAGAAGGCAGCTGTACCTGTGAAAGCGCTTGGGGTTTGGGGTCAGTCTTGGCTTTGCTTTCCACCTCACACGGTTTCTCTGTAAATTGCTTATGAATCTAACGCTGGTGGCACATAGTTGGATTAATAAAAGTTCTTTTTTTCTTCATTCTCTTACCAAAAAGAAAAAAATTCCGTGCAGGGCACTTCGCAGATGTTTTTTCATTCTAGACCTCTCAGTAGCTTCTGACAGAAAATATACTGCCTTTGACTTAATAGCCATTTATGAAAATAGGTCATTTACAACAAGCCTGAGTAGGAGTCAGGGGAGGGAGAGGAGGTATAGAGAGTGATTATGACTTTAATTTTGAAAGGAGAAGGTTTACCAAGGTGACCCTGAAGAAAGGTCTTTTTCCTCTTATGTGTTTATGGTTCAAGAGACTCATCTCTTGCTTCAGAAATTGTCAGAACTGTTCCTTCTGCCTTATCCAATTTAAAAGATGAAAACTTAAAATTACTTGAGCCAAGTGATGGGAAAAATTGTGGTGTCAAGACCAATTTATTCATACAAAATGAATTTATGGGCAAGTCATTAAGTAACAGGGAGTACCAAGGAAGCCTAATGAAGACTAATGTAAAAGATACGGCTTTCCTAAAGTGATGGATAAAATGTGTTTGAGGCAACCCATATACTCTTTTCCAAATAACCTTAAAAGTATTTTTTTCCAAGAGATTTAGTAGAATGTAGATATTCTAGAGAAGAGATGAGAAGCTTGTGAGCCCCTCTTGTCATGTGGCTTACAGTATTTTGAGAGAGAAAAGACCCACATAAAGAATACAAAAGAGGGCGTAGTGACAGGTTATAGCAAATAAAATCAAATGCCAAACTGTGATGCCAAAACTAGGTGAGATGGGCATCTCCACTCTGCTATGGAAAGTAGAGAGTGGAATCCAAGCAAGTTCCTGCTTAAAAATCCCTGTTTCCTATCATTGGCAACAGTATTTCCCCTTGCCAGTTATTTCCTAGGCTTGTTCAAATAGATTCCTGGCTCCTACCCCAGAACTACTGAGTAGAATCTCCAGCTGATCCTAATGATTCAAGTTTGGGAAACTGACCCAGAGCCTGAACTCTGCGCTCCTGTGAATGTTGCACAGCTCCCTGCCTCAGAGGCGTCTCCTCCTTGCCAATGTAGATTTTACCTTCTACCCAGGCACATGTCCTGTGCCTTTTCTGACTTCTCTTTCAGCTGGAGGGTGATGCCTTTTCCTTCAAACTCAGCTCAGGTGTTAGCTTCCAGAAATTCTTCTTTGATCTGCCAAACCTGGGATAAGAGAGTGTTCTCTGCCCTTTTGTGCATAATTCTATCAGAATATACATCACCTTTGTAAAATTCTCTATTTACACGTTTTTTGCCCTCTGTAGAATGTAAACTCTGAGGGCTTAAGGCCTTGTCTTTGTGTTACATTTCCCAGCCCCGTGTACCTGAACTTGACAGGTGCTCCGTGAAAGTTGGAAGTGTTGATTGCCTTCAGGAAGAGATTGATGTTAATTGGAATACAGATAAGGCGTAATGGACAAGGTGTTATCTTTGGTGAGCTTAGAAGAACATGTCTGTGTTTTTTAAAAGGTGTGGAAAGTTAATAATACCTTTAAAATAACCTGTACTGTCAAGCAACTGATAGTCAAGATTTGCATTCTTTTTTCTGACAGTTATTAACTCTTCCCAGTTTTTGATTTTCAAATGTTTTTAATCTGAAATTGTAAATACTCTATGAGTAGGTGAAATTAGTAATAATTAAGGTAGTTAATATCTCTGTGAACTAGAGTCACATTACAATGTATTTTAGTGGTTTTTAACATAAAGTGGCTACTTTCCTCTCAGTTTTATACATGATGAAACTGTGGCATATTGGGATTTAGTATCTGTGATAGGAGATGAACCTGACTCATCAGTTGAGTATCAAGCCTTCGGAGTTAATATTCTCTCTAGATGTGTTCAGCCTCAAAACAGCACGTGTTCAAAACGTAAATAAGGCGGTTTATAGATGAATAGGAAGATTTGTATATTTTCACTAAACTCATTAAAGGTAATGAATCTGTTACAGTATTTACTTTGTAATTTTTCACTTTGTACTCACAACAGTATAAATAAAATTGCTGTGTGATCTGAGTCCTGAATGAAAAGTGGTTGTCCTGAATAGTAGTTGTTATTGTAATTGTAGTAGTAGTTGTAATTGTAGTTATCTGTTGAGATTGTGGAGCTAAAAAAATAAGCTGGAAATTAAATGGGAAAGTTAAATTAACATTTGTTGAGCAAAATAATTACTTGATCGCATTTTAAAAACATCTTTCAAACCGTGGGGGCAGTGTAGATTGTCCAAATGATAACCCAAAATTCAAAAATAATTTCTGAAATTTGTATTTTATTTGACTTAGGATGTTGACTTTTCTTGGCTAAAGAAAATTATTTTACTTAAATTACGATTGCTTTTGTTTATTCACACTGTTAAAACAAGTTTAAATTTTTCTAGATTTTAAGTTCTTTAAGGACAGAGCCTTTGTGTATGACATGTTTTTGAATTTCCTTGCACAGTGTGTACACATACATATTTGTTGAACCCAGTAACCTGGAGTTCCAGCTTACTACATCTGCTGATCCTGTATGAATTCACTATGAGAACATCTCTAAATAATCCTTCTCCTCACAAATTCAGATTATTGAGTGGATGGACTTAGAGTGAAATAAGCATAATGGAAGAATGTTTAATGAAAAAATTTCATTGAAAACAAAAGAACAGCTTGAGTTCTTGAAGGGAATCCTTAAAATAGTGTTTCCATACTAATTTTTAAGTCTCAGTGCTATATAGCTGCTGAATAATAGTGATGCTGAATTTGACTGAAACAGAAACACTAATTTCTGAAATATTTTTACTCAGTTTTTGCTTAACTTCAGTCTTATTAACTTGCCAACATATTTTGAAAGAGAGCTGTTATATAAGAAAAGATGCATTTTGAAAGGAGTGATGTGCAGCTTTGCATGTCTGATACTGTTGATTTGGGTGTGTAATGCTATCTCTTTTGCTATGTTAGACTCCCATTATTCTTGAGTTTTAAGACTTTTTCTTTGTTATTTAGAGCACATATCTGTTATAGTCATAATAGAATAATTAAAAATCTTTGGCTATGTTATTGCCTTTCAGAAGGCTGTTTAAGGTTGTGATTAAGAGTATGGGCTGGCTGTCCGCTTTCTAGCTGTGTGACCTTGAGCAGAGTGTTTAATCTTTCTGTGTCTTTTTCTTCATGTGTAAAATGAGCATAAAAACAATACCTGCCTTTTAGGGTAGAGCAATTTAAATGGATTAATACATACAAAGTTCTTGGAAAAGTGCTGGCATATAGTACACTCAAAATTACCATTAGATTATAATTCTTTTCAGAGATACCATGTAGGCATCAGTTGTTCATAAATGTGTCTTTTCTATATAATATGGACTTTAAAATAGGGCTGATTTGAACTTGAATGTTCCGTCACATTTGGGAACAAATTATTTAATCTTTCTGTGCCTTTACTTTCATCAGCAAAATGAGGGTATTAAGACCTTCTTCCCAGGGTTCTTGTAAAGATGAAATGTGGTAGTGTTTATAAAGACCTTAGCAGAATGCTCCGCATAAAATAACCAACCATTCACTGAATGGAGGTGGTAGTGGTTGTAATGGGTATACTGACTGTGTGTCAGGCAGTAATGATAAGTGATTAAGAGCAGGTGCTTTGTAAACACAGGACTTTCCCTAATGAGGCTATGCCATGGTGTTGTGGGAACTAAATAAGGTAATGCATGTAGAATGTTCAGCTTAGTATCTGGCTCATAGTAAGTACTGAAAACATGTTACCCGTCATGTAGTAGCAGTGGAGTAATACATGTCTTCTCACATGGTCCTTTAATACTTCATTTTCTGTACGTATGTTAAGGGCTGTAAGGGTTTTGTTGAATAATCAGCTTTGGTCTTTACTTTTTATTATTCCTTTTCATATTTTGATTTAGGATTGTTAAAATGAGTCTTCGGAAGCAAACCCCTAGTGACTTCTTAAAGCAAATCATCGGACGACCGGTTGTGGTAAAATTAAATTCTGGAGTGGATTATCGAGGTAATATTTTCATGTTTCATTCTCACTGGTGTAACTGAATAAGTAAATGTGACTCACTGATTTTTATTAACCTCTTAAATATACCCAATAGACCAAAAAAGTACGGGTCATCAGCAGTTTTTATGCATATCTCTTTTTCTACCTCTCATATCATTCCTTTTATTTATTTTTTTCATACTAAGTTTTATTGTATGCTGCTGCCAGTGTATATAAAGCAGTTACCCTTGTGAAATAGAAATTCATGAAAATTCAGAGAGGTAGATGTTAAGGAGTGACAAAAGTAGAAGTTTGTATATTATGGCACATGTATTACAGGGATAAGCTTTTGCACAGGCTTCAAATGTAGCTCTCTTGAATATTCACTGGATCATAAGGAGTGGTTTGGGAAACCTTTGAAAGATTCATTTTACTACAAAAAGGAACAGACTTTCTGGGGTCGGAAGGGATTTGTACTTGAAGATGCTCCAGTCAGCAAAGGGTCATGTTGAGCATTCTGCAGACAGAATTGTTTCAAGTCTGCAGCTGCCTGGGAATCTTTTACGCAGTTGAGCCCGGCCTCCAGCTGGAGCTGTTGAACCACTTTCTTCATAGCAGCGACACTGGAGGAGCCAGACATGGTGCACACGATGGCCGGGCTGATTCGTGGGTCGGTGGGTCGTGGGTCGTGGGTCGGCGGGGCCAGACAACTGAGCCGGTCGTTCCTTTAAGAAGGACAACTCTGACAGTATAGCATGTGCTTCTGCCTTTCAGTGTGATTTGTGTGACTTCTGTCTCCTGTCTGCTTTGAGATCATCCGTGCCTAAGTTCCCTGGTAATAGCAAGGTATTCCTAGTAAACTCAGGTATGAACAACTCAACTGAAGAACATCTTGGTGCAGCAGCATTTGTTTTTGCAGGAGTATTCAAGATTGGCAGGTAGCTATTGAGTATCATTTTACAACCTGAATGTCCCACTTATATAACGTATAATGTGTGGGGCGACAGGGTGAGACTATCTCAAAAAAAAAAATGCCTTTCTGTTCTTGGAGAGAATATTATTTTTAAGAGGCTGCAGTGCTTTTGAAATTAACTTTATAGGAAGAATGGTTTCAGATTCCATTTTTTAAAGTTACTGAATTTCTTATCTTCCACAACTAAGGTATGTTAAGTTACCTGAAATATTTCACAGGCGTAGCTAACTAATTCATTATCTGAGTGACTTGGTCTCTTGGGTTGCTCTAACAGAATACCACAGACTGGGTAATTTTTATTTTGTGCGGTTTTTTTTTTTATTTATTTCAGTAGTTTTGGGGGTACAGGTGGGTTTTTTTGTTTTATAGATACATTCTTTAGTGGTGGTTTCTGAGATTTTGGTGCACCCATCACTTGAGCACTGTACACTAGACTGGGTAATTTTCTTTCTTTCTTTTTTTTTTTTTGAGACAGAGTCTCGCTCTGTCGCCCAGTCTGGAGTGCAGTGGTGCGATCTCAGCTCACTGCAAGCTCCGCCTCTAGACTGGGTAATTTTCAAAAACAGAAGTTTATTTTCTCACAGTTCTGGTGGCTAGGAAATCCAAGATCAAGGTGCCAGCAGGTTCAGTTGTCTGGTGAGGGCTACATCCTCCGGAGAGGAGGAATGCTGAGTCCTCACGTGGCAGAAGGCAGAGGGCAAACCAGCACACTGCATGAAGCCTTTTTTAATGCAGGCCTTCATCCTGTTAATGGGCAAGTCCCCATGGTCTGCTTGCCTCTTAAAGGCCCCCACCTCTTAATACTGTCCTATTGCCAAACACCTGAATTTTGGAGGGCACACATTCAAACCATAGCACAGGGTTTTGTGGCCTTTTCTTGGTCTCTTTTCTGAATAATTAATCATCATAGTAATCTCTTGAGCTTTTTCCTTTGAAATCTCTGTTGACCATCCCCACATAGTAAAGGAGGAGCTAGGACTCAAGTTCAGGCTCAGCTCATAAGCCTGGTTAAGAAACCACTCTGGTGATTATGTGCTCCCTTAGCTTGTTGCCATTAATAACATATCTCCAGCTTAATTTTATTTTTATAGTAAAACTAATGGATTCATATGGAATACTGAGGTACTATAATGTCTCCTGTACTGCCTCTCACCTGTGAACTTTTGATGGCCCCATAGGAAGTAATAGACTTCTAGGGATTTTAATCTGACAATTGATTAAAGTGAGGACATTGTGTTCAATATCTTCTCAGTACCCACTTTATTGAAGAGATGAACCAGCCTGACCTTTTTTCTCTGTAGTCTTTAGGGAAAATTTTTCTATTTATAAAGGTAATACATGTTTTAGTTTTGTTTTAATTTTAGAAATGTAAAAGGAAATAATAGAGAAAAGTATATAGAAGAAAGCCAAGTCTCCCCAATGCTACCATCCAGAGACAGTTTACCAGTTTTGACCTCTATATAACCATAATTTGACATAAATGGAATCAGCTGTACATGCAACCTGATTTTTTTTTTTTTTTAAAACATGAAACAATGCATTTAGTTTTATGACAATATAGAGGGTTTAATGACTGCATAGGAATCTCTTGTGTGGCTGTACCATAGTTTGTTTTTACTTTTAACCAGTTTCCTGTTAATGGACATTTAGGTGTTGACCAGTTTTTTGCCACTGTAAACAACTCTTTTACTTTGACATATATTGTGAACAGTTGACCAAGCATCTCTTTAGAATCAATTCCCTGAGCTAGGATTTACAAGTCAGAGAGTATTCCATGGCCCTGCTTTAGAGAACCTGGGTTTATCCTTCATGTTCTCACCAACTCTTGTATTAGCTTTTTTTCATCTTTTCCAATCTAATCGGCAACAAGTAATATCTCATTCTACATATATTTTATTTGTTTACTAGTGAGATTCAGCAGTCTTTCACATGGATAGTAACCATAATTTTTTTTCCTCTTATGAATGTCTGTTTGTGACCTTTATACGATTAAAACAAAATGTTCTATACTATTAGATAGCGTTACTAAAAGAACGTGCTTATTTTGTGGTTTACAAAACACCATAAAAAAAAAAAAACCCAAAACAAAACACAACATACAAGAAAAACCTCCAACTCTCTGTAGCAGTTTCTGTGTAAGAAAATGTCTTGTTTTGGTTATGTATAGTAGGTTATCTCATGGAGAAGGAAACGGTTATATTTCTAACCCCCTGGGCAGTTTTTTTTTGTTTGTTTGTTTTTTGTTTTGTTTTTTGTTTTTTGCCTTTGCTGTGAGAACAGATACTTTAATTAGAAGTGAACTTTTTTTTTTTCTTTTTTTTTTTGAGACCAAGTCTCACTCTGTCACCCAGGCTGGAGTACAGTGGCTCAGTCTTGGCTCACTGCAGCCTCTGCCTCCCAAGTTCAAATGATTCTTCTGCCTCAGCCTCCCGAGTGGCTAGTGTTACAGGCACCCGCCACCACGCCCGACTAATGTTTGTATTTTTAGTAGAGACGGGGTTTCGCCATGTTAGCCAGGCTGATCTTGAACTCCTGACCTCAAGTGATCTGCCTGCCTCTGTGTCCCAAAGTACTGGGATTACAGGCGTGAGCCACTGTGCCCAGCCTGGACATTTCATTTTGAAATTCTTTTCATTAGTTTTCGAACAGGTTTGCATATTGTGCCTCAGAAGTTTCTTGCTCATTTATAATTGTGGCTTATATGTAAAATAATACAGCAGGAAATGAGCTAAAGTTATAGCTTAAGCTTTCTTTGGCTAGGAAATAATTTTATTATTCACAGTCCATTCTGGTTCTTTGAGAGTTTACCGCTTTTAGCAGAATTCTGGTAGATTAATGTCTTATGCTGTCATTACACACACAATTTTGAAAGGAAACTTTTTTGTTTAGAGGATAATGGGGGCAGAGGCAGAGAGTGAGGAGCATATTAATGAAGTTAAGACATCAAATGAGAAACTTATAGACTCGACTAATTGAATCTAGTATTTGTTTTTACTTAAATTTTTTTTTCTAGAAAATACCACTTTAAATTAGAGACAGAGTTAGAGGCTTGCAGATTTTCATCTTCTGAAAAAGATCATTAGGTCAAATTTTACAAAATTTATACCATCTTAACACAATTAAAGATTCACTCAAACTGTTTCCTTGAAAGCTCCCTCAAATGTTTTTGGCCATTTTCTCTATTAGTTTTGATTGGAAAATATTATAGCTGTAACAAAACAGAACAAGATGTGTTATAATGCAATATGTTGCCCTATATTCTCAAGCTGCTCTTCACTGTGAGTCACAGCTTTAAGATGTTCTTTCGGGAGCACCTGCTGTCTCCTCTTCTATTATTTTAACAGATTGTGGAGACTTCCTTTTAACCCTGGAGTACATTCATCTGCTGCAATAGATGTTGTAAAAGGATGAAATAAATCTGCCAGACCCGTATTTCACTTAGTGGCTGAAGTAGGAAATGCCACTGGAACCAAGGATCATTTGTTCATGCATAATTGCCCACCTTGTGCTTAGCTTTCACAGAATGGTATTTTTGTTGGATTAGTCTTATTCTCTTACTTTTTTGAATGCTTTAAAAGTTGCTATGTGGTCATACATACCGTGAGGGAAGTGACAGTTTGTTGTTTTACTGGGTAGTAGTGGGTGCGTGACTGCCTTCCTAGTCTTCATTCAGATTGGCCTAGAGTTGTTTTGTGCTTAAGCTGTTGAGTTTCATTTAGGGTATGAATTTTTTTATTAAGCATCTAAGAGCTAATGAATAAAGAGATCGTCTGCTCTAAGGTATACCCTGTAATTTTCAACTCCTACTTGCCTTGTATTTCTTCTTTTTGACTAAATATGTCTACAGGGGTCCTGGCTTGCTTGGATGGCTACATGAATATAGCCCTGGAGCAGACAGAAGAATATGTAAATGGACAACTGAAGAATAAGTATGGGGATGCATTTATCCGAGGAAACAATGGTAACATTTCTTCACCCTACAGTACAGCATTCATTCAAAATAAGCCTTTCTGTTTATAATCCAGATCACCAAAGAGTTTACTAGATAATTTAAAAGTCCAGTTTTAGGCTTGATTATTTTAAAATGCTTATATGTCAGTTTGACCAGTTATTTTTTTAGATACATCATGGAATTTTTAAACTAAAATTCCCTCCTTCCCTTCCTTTAGTGATGAGGAACTGGGGGCATTGTTCTCCTGACCCGGAACCCTGCTCTCTTGAATATAGTGTATTATTATCTCCCCAACACATATTCCTGCTTCTTGTAGCCTGGAAGTTGCAGCTGTAAGAATGGGCACCATTTCCCTGCTGTCTTTAATTTGCATAATTTGGCAGTTTGTCCTATTTGTCCCTTCTCTATTAAACATTCAGATGCTTTCTGTGCAGATTTGCATCCTTTGATTTGGCAAAAATGGCAAAATAGAAAAAATAAAGTTACTCAGTTTTTTAACAACTAATAAATTGCTATGATTTTTATAGTTATTTTTAAGTACCTAGTTTCAAAATGAAAATTATGATAAAGTCACATTTGTATTTTTGGTGGGGAGGGAAAAATAACAGAATTACGAGAATTACCCTACTTCTTGGTTCCATCTCCCAAATGAAACTCTGGGATTCTTGAGTTCAGATTTTTTGTTGATTTCTTTAATTCTGGATGTCTTCAACCCCCTAAATAGTTGGATCTCTTTGATATAAACTAAACTTCCTGACTTTTATAATAGTCTGTCCCCTGTGCTTACAGTACCATATTTCTTCATATCATATTTTTACATACATTATTTCCTGACTTTCTAGTCCTTTCTATTTATAGAATTACCCTATTTTTCATATCCTTATTTGACCTCCTCTTTTTCCTAAGAAATGTTATGATCTTGCCTTGCCTCAAGACAGCTAATAGCAGCAGTCACCAGCAGGTTGGGTTCTGTGCGTGTTGATAGGGTAGATCCTTTAATGTGCACACTACACCTAGGACTTGGGGGGCCAGGGTTGGGGGGTGGCTGTACTGTGCATTCTGATGCTTCCCTTCATGTCACATTTCCCATGATGTAATCCGTGACACTCATCTTTAGACTCCCTAGTTCACATCATTGGCTCTTAAAGAGGATCTTGACTTAGATTGATCTGTGCTATGTTCTTTGATGAAGACACCTTACTGTTCACTTTGAGCAGGGCTCTCAGAAGCCGAGTAGGCATGCGGGGTGGAAGGGAGAGCCACCTCTAGTTTAGCCAAAGTGACCCAAGCATTTCATTTTGTTTCATTCCTACGAACCACACGTCGTAAGAGTTCAGGCTGGTAGTCGTGAGAGGACCAGCTAAGCAGAACATTGGATAACATCAAAGTATGAGACTTTAAAAGGAACTCAGAATAAGGACTTTGGTATCATTAAAAAAAAAATAAACTCCTCAGCTCTTGTTTATCTAAGTGTTGCAATTTAGAAGGTGAACACCAAGTTTAGAGTTTGTATTGGAGAGATAGATGAAAATACATTGTTTATTCTTAATTTGAGATCTAACCTGGTTAGATTTACTGATTTACTTTCTGAAAAGCATTTTTTTTTTCCCTGAGATGAAGTCTCGCCCTGTTGCCCAGGTTGGAGTGTAGTGGTGCAGTCTCAACTCACTGCAGCCTCTGCCTCTCAAGCTCAAGAGATCCTCCCACCTCAGCCTCCTAAGTAGCTGGGACTACAGGTGCATACCACCATGCCTAGTTAATTTTTTTGTATTTTTGGTAGAGACGGGATTTCACCATGTTGCCCAGGCTGGTCTCGAACTTCTGAGCTCAAGTGATACACCTGCTTCAGCCTCCCAAAGCGCTGAGATTACAGGCGTGAACTACCGTGCTCAGCCCTGAAAAGCATAATTCTTATACTAACTATAAAGCATTCTTAGATGCCAGGGACTTTCACATATATTTTATTTTATCTTCCTGGTCACACTTTGCAGAGTAAATGAGACACATGGATGAGATTAGGATAGACATCAAACCCGGATGTAGATTCATAAAACTAGTGTCATAGTACTTCTAGAGTTAATTGAATGATATGAGAATTCATTTTAAATGTCAGATGTATCAGACCAAAACCTGTTGGCTTTTAAACATGCTACTATGTATACTTACAAGCAGGGTTTTTTTTTATTATTTCAATTTATGTATTTTTTTCTTTTCAGTGTTGTACATCAGTACACAGAAGAGACGGATGTGAAGACACCAAAAGAGCAACGCTTTTCATAGTTGGATATATTTTTTTATGAATTTTTTCTAATTTTTCCTTCTTTTGTGATACAATTTGTCCTGTTTTTATAATAGTTGGTGATTTTTCACTGACATGTAAGACAAATGTACACAATTGTGGATTTAATTGTGAAATGTTCTGTCACATTTAAGTTTCAGTCATTATACCTCGTTGTCAGTGTACAGAATGCTAAAAGAATTAAAAAAAGACAAAATCTATCTCTTCCTACAAGATTCTTTAACTTAAGTTTCGAGGAGCGTCATTTCATTTGACTTGCTTTTCATATCCAGCTAAAGTGATGCAAATATTTTATATAATGTATGGGCATATAATTAAAACATTTTAGAGGTATCCTCTTTTATTGCATCCTTTTCTGTTATACAAAATCCTTGGGTGAATATGTTCTAAAAGGCATCCAGTTTCAGTCTGAAGCTGCGAAAAGGGGCCACAAGATCAGAAGTTCAGCCACTGATTGAGTCACCTAAATAGAAAACAGAATTGGAGAGCTAAGAGTGCCACTTGCACATAAGGAGTGGGAATTTGAATTGAGGTGCTGGAGAAATCCTAAAGATGAGCAAGAGGGAGGAGAAGGCCCTCCTGTCAGCAGCCCCCCTGCATTTCCTATGCAGTTAGACTTTTTAGGTTTCCCTGCTCCCTTTCAGGAGCATTGGCATCAATGTTATTCTCTCAGTTTATGAACACAGTAGGGGAGGGGCCATTCCTGTACATCTCTCACAGTCAGATTAAAGCAAAGCCTAGAGTTTGTAAATATAATTCAGGTTCTAATTGCCGAGCTGAGATTGGGAAAGAATTTTTCCTAACTTGCTTAGCAAGTGGCTGTAGGGAGGCCTTTCTCAAAAATCAGCTGTGTTTGCATGTGACATTGACCAGGAGCAGAGCACCAGGCTTTATGTTGCTTGGCACAAGGCAGCTCCTCTGGTTGTATGACTCTTGCTGAGACGGTTTTCACAATTTATTAATGAGCTTTCCACAACCCTGCTTTATTCTCCACAGTTTTACGCTGTCTCTAGGAAAAACAAATATATCTGGGCACTGTGGTTGAATGAATACCAGACAATGGTGTGAATGTTGTATTGGACTTCCCCTTCCCTCCCTCTCCAATCTAAATAGCATTCCTGTTTCAGGAGCTGGTGGTGTGATTTGAAACAACTGCCTGGTTGAAGGATATGGGGGCAGGATCGAGAAGGAGGGAGGGAAGTGGCAGTGCTGATTCTGGAGAGGTGTATGTAGTGTTTTGTCTTGGTTTATTTTAAAGATCAGAGAGTAATTTGAAACAATTATTTTTTAATTAATAACTTGGGAAAGGTGAACAGAAAGATTTCACAGGGTTTTACCGTGTGCACACTGAAAATAAAACACTTTATGCTATGCTTCAATAATTTATCACTTCTTGACAGGGGCTTGGAAAGGGTCCAGTCTGTAAGTACAAATCACCAATTTGCTCTTTTATAAATGAGTTCTTTTGAGGAGAAAATGGATGGCCCTCCAAGTGGAGCATACATGTTCTCATTTGTTTTGTAGAATATGTGGGGCTGCCAGGTTATCATGTCCCTTCATTCACTTACATCAGCCACCTCTAAAAGCAATTCCATTGTAGTCTCCCACCAATCTGTAGCATCCTATTTTTTCTAACTTCTTCCCTGACCTCCCCTTTGGTATATGAGTCTTTATTTTCCCCTTGCCATCTCTCTAGTTTAATAGCTCTACAATGGAGTACTGTTTTCAACCATGGAACTACTTTTAATCAAGATGGACTTTGGGAAATGCTGCCATTTTTATGGTAATAAAGGAGTGTATTATGCACTTGGACCCACGCAAGTCGTCCCTGGTGTATACCTTCACATAGTAGAACCATGAAACACAGTGTAAATGCTAAAATTGCTTTGTTCTTAACTGTAGTCTCCTAGAGGTCAGTGAATGATTTCTAGTTACATTGTAGCGAAGACATTTGTTCCAGGTTGAAGAATTTTTACTTGAGGATATAACATTTTCCCTGTCTCTGTGCCCCCAAACCCTGGCTGCCACACTCTTTCTCTTGGGCTGTGACAAAACAGAATGTTGAGTGAGAAACAAAATTGTGCTTGATTTTTCAGACTATCTGACTTCACGTTCTGTTTTGGTCTTTGAGCTATTCCTTGGCTAATCTTCCAACAAGTTGAATTGATTCTTATTTCAAAGCTGTTTATCCCAAAACAGAGCTGTTGACAAGTACAAATACAGATGGCAGACATGTGGTATGATTTTCATGTTCTCATCTCAGCATTCAGGAAGGGAATGTTATTGAAAGATGGTTTACATCTGAAGCTTTCTGCTCAAGGCAATATGGAATGCATGCTAGGAGTGCTTAATTATGCTTAATTAATAATAGTAACAAATGCTTACGGGATTTCCTTAAGGTCTAAAAGTGCAGCAGCATTGGACTTGTTGTGTAAGGCTTATCACCCTGGAGGCTATAATAATCTGTAAGAGTGGAAGCAACCTCTAGGGGGTAAAATTGTCTTTGATAATCACTGACTCTTGGGTGACCTCAGTACAGCATTCCAGGCCAAAGATCCAGATTGTTCCCTTACTGCAGGCAGACACGCCCATGATTGCACTGACCTTTGTCCTCCGAGCAGATGATCCTCCAGAGTACTGGCTAGCTTATATTCAGAGGTAAATCCCAGCCCATGCTGTGGCCTTGCTGTTCCCCACAGCCCAACTGCATTAACTATTATTTTTTTTCTCCACAAAAAGAAATTGTTGGTGAAAGGAAAACAAACTGCAGTTTTTCTCCCCACCGACCTGGTTTCAGGAGGCCGTGTGCTCAGTGGCGTGCCCCTGTCTGTCTTTCCTAAGCTTGCCCGTGACCATTGTGGAGGTAGACACCACCTAAGAGTGGCAGGGTTAGTCCTGACCTCTGGGGTCTGAATATCCAGCAACTCCCTTAATTCCAATCGCTGCTGTCTGTTGTACTACCAGTACCCAGCAGTACAGCTGTGTCTCTGTTGTTGACCGACTAACTTAGACTCACTGTTGAAGTCCAATTAGCCAAGAGTGGGGGTGAGAATGCAAGAGTGGACGATGAGAGTGGTACGTGCCATGTATGACAGGACCGTGGAGAAAGCCCTCTCTCATACCTGTTATGTCCTTCCTTTAAAAGATGTGGGAGGTGGCCAGGGAGTGGGGATTTGAGAATGTGGCGACAGAAACCAATTTAGCATTTATTGGATGACAGCTGTAGACAGGCACTGTGCTATCCCTTATGGGGGGTAGATAAAAAAGGAAATAATGACGTCGTTCACACCTTCCATACTGAGTTTGTAGGTTTGGGTATTTATGGGGGAAAATGGTACTCTCCATCCTTTTTTTAAAAAATTGGGCCAAAATAGTCAGAATTCTTTTAAAAATCTGAACATTTTAGATGGATTTGATCATCTCAACTGTCTGTTCGTATCTTGAAATTCAGGACTGGGTAATTTTGAAATCTGAACGTAACTATGCCTTATTTACCCACAGACCCAGGTAGTTCAGCCTCCGATCTTTGGTTTTTTTTTTCCTTCCCCTAGCAAAAGCCAGCCTTTGGTTTAGCTGAACAATCATGTTGGATTTTTTTTTTTTTTTTCCCTATTTGAAGATCCATTTTGATTCACCTGCAGCATTAAAGGATTTTCTTCATAGTAATTTGGGAGTTATAGCAGCTAGAAAGGCAGAGGCATATTCTAAGAACTTCATGAAATATAAAACACTGAAGCACTTGGGATAGACTAGTTTTCAATGCCTAGGTTACACAAATGTTCAAATTCACATGGGCTTCATTTGTTCCAAGTTGTATAATGGAATGGATGCTGGTGCGTTTGGCAATATTTTATACCAATAATTTGGATTAAAGGAGAGGTCAGTTTATGAAAAGTTCACGTAAGATTCTTAGAGACAATTTTATTACCATCATGTGCATACGGTATTTCAAGTCACTATTCAGTGTTTATGTCAAATAGACGTTTTATTGAACTTTGAAAAATGAAAAAATTAAAAATGTGTAATATGTACGGTTGAGTGGATGTTGCTGGGATACAGGGCTCCTTGTACCCCGCCCACAGTAGTGTGTTAGTCACGAACCCCAAATCTCAGTGGTTTGAAACAACTAATGATCTTACTCTTGCTCCATGTGCACAGGGGCCCATAGGTGGGATTCCGCTGATTGCGGTCACCTGGGGGTCCAGGCTGAGGGAGGCAGCACCTTATGTTTCCACCACCTCGACCTGAGGACTCAGCATCTGCTGCGGCAGGGGAAGAGCATAAAGAATCACTCCCTGGCTCCTAAAACCTTTTGCTTAGAGCTAGTGTCATTTCTGCCCCATTATTAGGCAAAGCAAGTTACACGGTCAGGGCTTACTTTAAGTTTTCAGAAAAGTATAATCCTTTCATGGACCCGGGAGAGACAACCAGAAATACTGGTGAACAGTGGTAATAACCTACCACATTATGTGTACTAGTCATGGTTCCTCCAGAGAAATAGAACCAATAGGATGCATAGAGAGATTTATTTTAAGGACTTGGCTCCCACAATTATGGAGGCAAGCCCAAAATCTGCAGGGTAGGCTGGCAGCCTGGAGACCCAGGGAACAATTGCTATTCAAGTCTGAAAGCTAGCTGCTGGAAGAATTCCCTCTTCCTCCAAGGAAGTCAGTGTTTTCCTATTAATGCTTTCAACTGATTGGACGAGGCCCACCCACATTATGGGGGGTAGTCTGTTTTATTTTCTTTAAATAGGTCTACTTATTTAAATTTTAATCTCTTCTTTTAAAAATAGCTTCATAGCAACATCTAGAGTAGTGTTTGACCAAATATCTGGGTACCATGGCCTAGCCAAGTTGATATACGAAGTTAACTGTCACGGTATGTTAACCATATCCTTCGCATTATACATTTTCTTAATCATTAGTAAAGCATTCAGAAGTATAAAGCCTTGATGTGATTTTTACTGTATTGAAAAAAGAATTCTTTCTCTGTTAAGACTTGGGTTGAGGGACCTGTGCTCCTGGTGTCTTAATCTATTTATCATTAGATTCCAGAGAAAATAGTAACTGGTTTCTTCATGGTTTCAGAAGCTGAGTCTGAATAGATTGTTTTGGTTTGGTTTTGTTGCTGCAGTTTAACTTACAATTTTCTATTTAATATATTCCTATATTTAAAAGAAAAAGCAGAAGGTAACAATCTTTCCCTAGACCAGGTAATTTTATCTCAAGCCAACCAAATGTGTTCCATCCACATACTGTGAGGAGAGATGATCATGGAGTCTTTAGTATACCTCAGAACTTGCCTTATGTAAAACGTGTCTCAAAGGCACA